TATAGCTCTGCTGCACTAGACTCACTAGCACAAATAAACTGAGGCATTTCCAGCAGCATCCCCCTTGCATTTGAGGTAGGTTAGCCTACATAGCTATCTTAGCCTCCTCGAGGATTAGCCACAGATGGAGCAGGACCCCTGTCTGCCTGTGTTTCCTTGGGAACTGTATCTATGGCAACAGCTTTCCGAGTCCTGAAATACACCTGATACTTGCTGACTAATGTGTTGTTTTCTAAGATGTGAATAGATGTCACTGAGATTTCTCATGCTTTTCATTAACATAATATAAAGGAACACAGCTTATACTTGACAGGGAACTATAGTGGGTGAGAGTGATGGAGGATTTTCAAAGCAGTGTCAATCTTCAGCCACCTTACTTTGCAAGAGGCTTCTGTGACTACCACTTGACGCAAGAGTCAGACTGTTTTTTCGCCTTTTGACCATACACCATGAGTAAGTCACTGAAGTCCACTCATTTCCTCCCAACCCAAATCATATGGCTCATATGGGGACAATCAACAAAGCTGCTGGTTAAAAAAAATGTGATTGTGACTGACGGCCCAGTAATTCCAATCAGCCTGGGTTAGGATTTTTTTTTCCAGGTTAGGATTTTATGACATTCAATCAAATACATTTTCAGCTATGCCAAGGGTACGTCTTGAGGAAGTTGGTTTGTTGGTTAGTTTTGGTACAGACTGAAAAGTCTCATCAAATACTGTTTGAAATTGTATGTAGACATTAGCATGCTAACACACTGAACTAGGATGGTGCACATGGTAAATATTATACCTGCTACATCATGCATGTTAAGCTGTTGATGGTAATATACTGGATAAATGCCCCCCTAGTTACAAACTCTTCTAACACCACACATAAGCATGGTGACAACGATGTGGTTGCAGAACACTACACTGATGCAACCTGAGCTTCTTGCAAAGCCCGCAATCGGTCAGAACAGACAACACATCAATCATGTTGCCCGCAGTGTGAACACACAGTAAGAAGCTATCATCGCGGCTGGCATAAATTACAACAGGAACCATATCATTAGCATCTGCCAGTCACCCTCTACAGCTGGTCTGTCTGCAGCGAGCCACCACAACAAAAAATACAATCCACAGACATGTCAGCTGACACAGCAACAATTCAGTGGCACACTGGCCATATCACAACCCTTAATGTGCCTCTCTCTCTCTTTCATTTTTCCCCTCTCTCTCTCTCTCTCTCTCTTTCTCTCTCTCCTCCTCTCTCTCTAGTCAAATGTCAGCCAGTGAATGCCAGCTCTATTAATATTTAAGGACCAATTAAATAAAAGCACACATCATGCATGTTTAATGTCTGACTGCTGAGAGAGCCAACCTTGCCCTTCCATCCTCTACAGGTAGGCCAGGCTAGTGATAGATGGATGGCCTTGCATACAAATGCTGTGTTCACTTTTACAACAAATTATTTGCTGCTTCTCCTGCCCTGGCTGTGGGCCGTCCACAAACTGACCCACAACCTATTTTAGGTCCCAGCTTAGCAGGCTCCAGACAGTGTGACCCTGTAGACACAGTAACCCAGTAACAATGCAGTTATGTGTATTTGGCTGTAATGTATTTGAGTTGTCATCCCTGATTTTAACAGAGACTGTACTTATGTAAGAATTGATAACAATTTATTACTTTAGTATAAATATATTTAGTAAACCAGCACTTTTCAGGTGGCTAATCAAAACCAAAACATAATTTATACTTTTACTGCCCTGTCACATTGTGTTAGCTGACCTTTAACTTTAACATGACTGTCAATAAAATTGTAATAAATATCAGCTTTGCATCGTCAACAGCCATAAAGGGACGCTGGTGAAGCTAGAAGTGCTGTAAACCAGACGCCATGCAGATCTATACTGTGGTCTATGCTAACGGTTCCTAACCATTTTGGCTTCCCCCCAGTTCGTCCATTAGATCGCTTTCAGGTTCGGGTAAGCACCATGATGAAGAGCTGTCAAGCTCCCCAGGTAAATGCTGGAGGTATAGCTAAATAGACATAAAGTGCTGCAGAGCAAACAAAGCCCCTACTCAAGCAAAAGGAGAATCCCAATAGGCCAAGATAGATATTTAGCCCCTGAGTTGTGTTTGGGGGTGGGGTGTGTTTCCTCCCAGATGTGCAGCACAGAATACTCTTTACACTTCGTAATTTAAAGCAGCTAAAATCAATATTTTTTATAATGACAATGGATCAAATTATTCTGTGTAATGTGAAAGCTTGTTATGATGAGTTATCATCTGACTGTGCTGTTTCCCTCAGCTCTACAGAGCTTTACAGCAAGTTTCAGCTCATTGTTTATGTCCAGCATGCAATTTTACTGATTTGGTTCACTCTCACAGCTCTCATAGCATCATAGCAGCATAGGATTTTTGACCACAGCAGGCAGCTGTTTCCGCAGAAAAAGCTCTACAAACCCAGTGTACACCTGCTGCTCTTCTAAGCACCAAACAGCAGACAGATAAAGCAGCTGGCCAGATATTTCACTCAGGAGTTGGGGGAAACCAAAAACAGAGTTACAAGGAGAGTGGATATTGGAATGATGTCCACCAGGTGGCCCGACATACAGCACTAAATGAAAGATAATACTGCTCTGTATCTTCTCAATGTGAAAATATGCAACTGCTTGCTGACAAGTTCACCATTTCAAACATCAGTTATTTCAGGGAAAAACACATCAAATCCATTTTCATCCAAACAGAACATGATGCTTTCTGCATAAACAACAGATAACAATGGCAGACGTAATGACAACATCCACAAATATTCACAAAAGGTTTTAATTGCTATGTGTTCCAATGCAAAGCTGACCACTTTTTGATTTAATATATTGTTTATATATTTCTGTGGTTGATTATCATAATACCCACTGGCACAATTACTGTAGCTTTAGAGAATGGTTGATCATCTTTTCGGGTTGCAACTGTCCTGATTGAAAACACTGATAAAGTTGACATTCCATCTTATCGGTTACCATCAGTTGATGACATATCACTCTGCTACATGGCTAGAAACCAACAAGAACGAGATGAGACGGTGTGACAGGTGCAATGCTTGATGCCTCGCCATCTTTGCTCTACTTGAAGCGTGGCAACATGTGGAGGGTCCAAAAATGTGATGCTAAATGCTGAAATTATTATAAGCTACTCAGTACCCCATGGGTCGGATCAAGCAAATTCAATGCTGTTATTGTATGCACATGTACAGGAGCTGTATACTGTATACAGGAGGAGTCCTCCATACTGAGACAGAAATCATCACTACACACCTGTTAAACATCACAGTAAGTCCAGTGTAAAGGTCATACAGACTTGATTTCTATTACTGTATCAGCAGGAGGGAAAAGAGACTCATTGGGGAGGAGCGATTTGGCTGACTGACAGGGTGATTAACAACCAGCAACAAATCTGCACTCTGTCTCTGTGTCTGTCTGCCTGTAATTCTCTCTTTATCCCATCTCTTACCACTCCCTGGTCCTCTCAGTCTTTCCTTCCTTCCTAATTATCTACATTAGCTTAATGACTAAGAGCCACTGACGTCTCTGAGTGGAATATGTATGTCTTACTGATTGCTTGTTATAGAGAGGCAGCAAATTACTTCTTACTGTTTCTCCCCTGTCAGTTTCTGCTGACATTTTGTCAGTGAAGTTATTCAAGCATAGAACAGTTACATTGCTGCAGTGCAGGATGCATTCACCCTCCAGTCTACTTCACACTTCCTCGCAGGTTTGTCAGTACTGATCGTAATAGGCCCGACTATTACCTTTATAATCATCTGTCTGTACCAATGGTACTTAGTCATCACACTTGCTATTAAACAGTTTGATTAATTCAGTTCAGTCAGATCTTGATTTGTGAAGGCGCTACACACCATTAGCTTTGGCCTCTGCTGCCTCCTGCAGTTTACAAACTGCAATACATGCACAGTGAGTGGATGAAACTAGAGACCGTCTCAGCTCTCTTCCCACTGTGGTTCACTCTAATTCTGATAAACACTCTGTATACAGACTGCAATAACTCAGTAGCACAATTAACAGACATTACAGACATAACAAACATTCTCTCTGATGCTTTCAGTCCTAAGCATTTCTAGTGATGCTGTGATTACACACAGGTGTAGTAATTGTGTAATCCCCCTCATCACGTCCACATTACACCATGTGTAGAGTGCAAAAAGGCATGAACTGTCACATCAGACACACTGCAAATACAGTGTCAACAGTCACAGCAATAGCATGCTATGTGTTAACTTGGTCCAGAAAACCAAACCAGGCGATACAACAGCATAAAAGTCACATTTTGGTTATGGGTTTAGGAGATAGTGCGGTTCAGAGGTTGTGGTGTATGAACATAACGAACATAAAGATTTATGTTAAAAGCAAAGCGTGAGCATGCTGATGAACTTGTCTCTCAAAGATGCTACATGTAGCATTTTTAAAAGTCAGAATAATGAGCACATTATTGTATAATTAAGAATGAAACAAGGTATAATCACCATGAACAAAGGACACATTTCTCTATAATGAAGCTTTTTTTAAGAGGATATTAAAACTCGTCTCCTTTTTCTAAACATGTTGGAAGTTGTTTTTCCTTCAGTGTTCATTCCTTCCACCATCTGCCACTGAGACCTCTGGCACTTTAGCTCCATTTGCACAGAGGAAGTGTGTCCTATTAAGGTTGTCCATATTATTAACTATTTATTGATGTGAAAATGCTACATTAAGCATCTGAAAACATTTCTGTGAGATGTTGAGATGTGATGTCTGTAATTTTCAACCAGTGCAACAACAGCAATTCAAGAATCTTGGGCAATCTACAAAAGATGTCTCACAAAACACAAGAAATGAATGAATAAAATGTTAAAAAAAATTAAAGGCAGGCATGCTTATATATCCTGAACTTCAGAGACGATAATCGACTGAAAACAACTTAACAACATATGAACGCATGCGACGGGCTCAGAGGCAGGTTTACCTGGTAGTAGGCGTGGCTTTGTGAATAGAGGGAGGAGAAAGGCGGGGCGGGAACTTCGTTCAGCCTCTCTCCCTCTGGGTGAGGCCACGCCTCATCATCAAAGGGAACCTCAGGAGATTCTACCTACGATGCACAGAAACTGCTCAGCATGGTACAGCAAAACTGATGCATTCAATTTGTATGTTTTTTTTATTTCATCTGAAATGTAAGGAGCACTGCAGTCTGATCATTGCACAGATGGTTGCTGTAAATAACTTCTCCACAATATATTTCTTTCTTGAAGCTACAAATTGGCACAAAGCAGAGGAGGACAATGTAACTGTGTTAGACAAAATACACAGTATACTACACATGTGCACAACTGTTCAATGCAAAAATTCACCTCAGATTCTTCACTGAGGTCTGTGAGGAAAAGCTGACAATCAATAGCCATTAATTCATTATTTCAAAAATAGACAATGATATATCATGAGTTGAAAATGAGGAAAGAAAAGTTGTCGGTAGACTATTTCTTAAAAAAATATTACATCCGAGCACAAGATGTGATAAATTGTGAGTATGGATTATTTATATGATGAAGACGTAACACAAATGTCCACTTAAGATAAATTGCAGAGAGAAGAAAGGAGAAAGTGTATGAGTGTGTGTGTGCATGTGTGTGTGTGTGTGTTGTGTGTGTGTGTGTGTTTGAGAGAGTAAAAAAAAAGAAAAAGAAAGAGAGGTGAGAGAGCGAGAGATAGAGAGCGAGAGAGAGAGAGAGAGAGAGAGAGAGAGAGAGAGAGAGAGAGAGGGAACATCTACGTAGGGAGAACAAGATGGCAGGTCCATCTGTCATACAGAAGCAAGCCAGACCCGGCACCTGTGGTCATACACACACACACAGTTGCAAAAACACATACGCACCATTTGGGAAGGAGGAGTTCCCAAAATAAACCTGAATACCCAAATACACCTTTAACACACACATTCATCACACAGACACAAGTTCTTTACTACAGATTTTATATTCAGTTGTCAGACACGGGTGATGAAAGGGACCTGTTGGTAAAGAGCGAAGATGATGATCATGATGATGATGTGTTGTGGCCAGGACATCGAGACCTGTATGCCATGACTGTAAAGGAATATGAACCTCAGTGGTCATAGGTGAATGGGTGCTGATGGCACCCAGTAAAGACTACAGCTTTACTGATGCACAGATACAAAGATGAATCATTCCATCTATCAATAAGATGATTGCCTCTCATGTAAGTGTGCAATAACAATCGCATCAAGAACATGCATATTCGCCTCAGTGATTTCTTCAGTGAAATGTTTAGGGGTTGGAAAACAGGTGGTAGGTGGCATCCAGCCACTAGGTGGAGCTACATGACCATATTTCCTCCACCACACTGACAAAACGAACCGCTTCAGTTGTGTCCACAGCTTTCCCAACTTTGAACTTGTGGTGACTTACAACTGAGTCAGTGCAGAGACAAACAAATGACAGTGTATAATGACTTCGAACTGACACACCGATAATATACAGTCCTTGGAGCTGACTGCCTGCCGCGTCCCGGAGGCCGCTGTAACTTACCTAATATACACAAACACACAGACACACACATACACACACACACTACTACCGACAACATAAGAGGTGATTAAAGAAAATAAAACACTTAATGATAATCACTCATGCCAGAATTTAAAATAGGATGACATATTAGTGGGGGGTGATAGGAGGAAAATGACAGAGCAGTGACAGGAAGACATGAACTGAAAATGAGAGGAAATCAAAGACGCAGAGGAATTCTGGGCCATTTTAAATCTTATTTTCTAATGTCTGTCAGCTGTTTAAAAGTCATTGTAAAGCCTTTTATGGCTTATAGCATAAGAATACGGAGGCTTTGCTTGAGTGAATGACAGAGACGCCAGCGGAAAACCAACAGCACTTTTAACACCTCCTGTCCTACCCTGTATTTTAATTTGGTGGTAAGTCATTTGTGATTCTTAATTAGCATATTCGTATGTAACTGTAATGGACTTGCTTTTGTTAGATCCCACATAAAAAGACAATAATTAAGATTTGGAAACAAGTAAAACCCACAATTCAAGGAAGAAAAAAAAAAGTCAACAACAGATAACATACACATTATGGAGCATAATGAGGTATGAGTTTTTATGTGTGTTGATGTGTAGTGAGTGTGCACATGCTGCAGGGAAACCAGTGTGTGTGTGTGTTGGAGAATATGTGTGAGTGTGTGTGGTTGGAGCTGTGCGAGTACAGTGATGTAAGCTTTAATCTGCAGACAGATACAGCCCAATCAACCAAAATAAAAAGATTACCAGGTTACGCTGTGCGATTATGAGCGTGTGTGAGGGAGATAGAGAGGCAAAAGAAAGGGAAACAAAGAGGGAGCTAGCCGGTCAGACACAGACTGAGTGCAGAACAGAGATAGTAATGGGCCTCATTACTAAAAAATGGGACAAGCATTCGACTGAATCCCTGCATGCACAGTTCTGCAAAAGTATTCTCCTGGTACAAAGAACGGCTCTGTGCATGGAAGCAAATTTAGGCCAGTATCCTTGACTTCTAAGTACTTTCAAAAAAGTCCTATCTAATTCTAGAGCCATATTGAAACAGGTCCCCTTACTTCTGTTTGTACTTGAACTTGAAAAGGAGGTGTGTCTGCCACCTTCACCAACTCTAGTAAAGTCATCAGCTTCAAAAATAGAAGCTGATGGCGTTAGACTTCAGATTCAGTCACAATATCAACTTAAAGCATATTACTGCTCTGGGCTAAAAATCTTTTAGCATTAACGTCTTTTTTTCAGGGACTATAGCAGACAGCCTTAATTTAAGACTGACAGCTGAAGTTCCCAGAGAACTGTGAAGTCCTTCAATTTAAAGAAGTCTGTGATTAAATTGAAAACAAAGGAGTAGCCCAACACAAGATGGACAACACTGTCTATTAGAAATTATGATTATATCCCTCTAATTGACAACAGTAAATACATTTTGACAGAAATGTAATGATGCCCAGATTACATTTTTTATCAACATGAGAAACTGTGTTGATGAACACACTGGCAAATTGTAAAATAATTACACACATCAGTAAGATGTTCAGTGACATGGTTCTGTTTAGGAACTGGCAGCACTTAATTAAGGTTAGGGGAAGATTGTGGTCTTGGTTAAATATAGTCACAGTCAACAGTGGCTTGAAGCCTGAGAAATGATGTGTTCACCTCATTAGCCGTGGCTGTCCATCCCGTTCTTGTGAACACAATATATCAGGAGTACCTGGAGGGACTCTCATTGCCTCTGGGGAAAAAAAAGCCAACTTGGACTCGAGGATGAACTGAGTAGAATTTGGTGGTCAAAGGTCAGAGGTCAAAGGTCAATGTCACTCTGACCTCACAAAACATGTTTTTGGCCCTAACTCAAGAATTCATACATTAATTATGACACAGTTTAACACAAATGTCTAATTGGATAAAATGAGTGATGACATAAAAGTGAGGATTTTATATCAACAAGGTCAAAGGTCAACTTCACTGTGACATCACAATGTGCTTTTGTTGGCTACACTTAACCACAACCAGGTCTCTGGTGCCTAAATCCCACACTTTGCCGACCATCCTCCCTGACCATATCCCTACACCTTGTGTACAATAGAAGAATGTCACACTGTGTTCCCTGGAAAAGAATATTTCCAAACACAATCCAGGCAGCAATTACACTTCCCTCAAAACATAACTGACAAAACAAATTAGTAGAACATAAATATAATTTCTTCGAGACAGGGTTGGGGTTAGAACATGCCCTCATGCACAAATTCATTAGCACAGACTAGACAACAACTAAATCCAAGCTATCAAATTCTTCTGATATTATCAAGGGGTTGTTTACAATATGAATATTTGAATACAGGAAAACCAGGCTGTCATTTTCATTTTAATAAGTTGAAGCTTTAACACAAGGTCTTCAATTATGTATGGATATACCACAAAAATGATGGATTAGGCCTTTGAGTCAAAACATAAAAATCAACCAAGGATTTCACAGACAGCAAGAATACCTGGCCTCAAATAGAAAGCATCTGTCACCAGAGTCATTTTGACAAGTGGATTGACAGACAGACTGGTAATCCCTTCAGGGAACATGATGCTAGTGTGAGGGCTGAGCCGTGTGTATGTTTCTAATGCAGTGACAGACAGGTAGACTGTTAGTTGGCAGATGTGATGGCAAAAGATCGACAATGACAATATAAAGTGCAATCCAGGTGTGTTTGTTTGTGTGTGTGTGTGTGTGTGTGTGTGTGTGTGTGTGTGTGTGTGTGTGTGTGTTGTTTGGCATACTAATGAAGAGGCACAGCCACAGTGATAGACATACAGACTTAGTTACCTGAACAGGCGTGATGTGTGTGTGAGTGACGTATCCGTGAACGTGCTGGATCTGAGACAGCTGCCGCTCTGCCACCTGAACCAGCTCGGCCCCCCGCAGGTCACCGTGGCGACCGAGAGATCCGTCCCTCCCCAGCGATCGTTCCCTTTCCCTCTCCATGGTCCCGGCACCTCCTCCCTCTCTCCTCCAGGTGCCCCCCTCCCTTCCCTCCCTTGCCTCCCTTCCCTCCCTCCCCTCCCTCCCCTCCCTCCCCAGGGTCCCTCCATCCCTCCCCAGGGTCCCTCCATCCCTCAGCTCTCTGGCTACTCCCATTGGGTGCTGATGGCAGGGGTGTTGGTGGAGTTTTGGGGCGCCTGGTGACGCCCCGTCCTCTTCTTGATACCGATACTTCTACAGTGAGAAGAGAGGAGGAGGAGGAAACCAGGTGGAATTTAAATGAAAATGCATGTAAGGGAAAGGAAGGAAGATCCAGGAAGAGAGAGAGAAAGTGACACAGGAAAAAGAGGAAGATGAGGCATAGGAAGGTTGGCAGGGAGGAGGAGAAAAAAAAAGACAGAAGAAGAAAGGTTAGTTAGTATAGCAGAAGAAAAGATTTAGTCAAGCTGGAAAAGAAGAAAGCATTAGTGCAAAACTGCAATCAGCATGAAACAGCATAGCATAGTGTGTATGTACATGTCTGAGTGTGTGTGTGCGCTCATGCATATGTAACGAGATGTTTTTATAGTACAGTTTGTGTGTGTAAGCACAAGGGACAGTCCAGGTGTACACCCAGCATGGCAGTAATTGTTTCCTGAGCTTCCTGTATTGCACATACGTGAATGCACAAACAAACACAAACACACACAATGAGTACACACACACACACACACACACACACACACACACACACACACACACACACACACACACACACATACACACACACATACACACGTTGGACTTGAAACAGAAGTTTTTAGGCAAAACGAGATGCAAAACTGAACGAGGACAGCGAGCGGGGGACAAGCCCGCCTCAGGGAATAACTGTTTCTTTCTCTCCTTCTCTCCTCCTCCTCTCTCTACACTGTACCTTCATCGTGCCTCTTTGCCTTCCAAATCTAAAACTCGCACCACCCTAAGTCTCACTATTTCTTCTCCTTCCTCTCAATCCTTATTCCCACGTACCCTCCCTCGCTTCTCTTCATCTTTTTAAAAAAATTATTTGATGTTTTTTTTTTTTTTCTGGCTTTACTGGACAGAGTACAGTGGAGAGAGTCTGTGAAGCTGACGGGGGGAAGGGATGCCGGGTACTTAGCCAGTGGATCTGTGACATTGTGGTTACATTGTGTGGAAGTTAGCCAGCTGAGGAGCTAAAAGGACAGCCCCTCTGTAGATTGGCTGCACAGGGACAATCACTCCTCTAATGAGGTGAAATCCAGGTAAAATCCTTTATCCCTCATTAATCTGTTTTACTAAATCTAAACCAATCAGGAAAAGGAGATACTGATAAAGAGAAGCATATGAGTTTTACAGGATTTTTAAAGCTTTGAGACAAATTGGATGTGGATTCTCTGATCATATCAACACCAAGATAATAAGGTAATTTCAGCTAAGTCACAGGCAGCTAATACAGTACACGACAGTCACAAAACAAACTACGCAGACTTTAGTTACTCATTTAATAAATCAAAGGTATATACAGGAGTCCATTAAAGAGATGTGTGTAATCCACATGTCAGCCTCACTGCACTACACCAAAACTTGTATGAAGAGATACATTAGTTGAGAGGCTTTTTATGCCATAATCTATACAAACGTAGATATGTGAGTTAGAGACTAGTGCTGTAGCAACACAAGTGGTAATACATTTTCAGTAATGACATGTCAAACTGCAGGGAAATGGCTCACTTATTACATGTGGAAAACCAAGTAAGAGTAAAAAACAGAAGCAAATGTTCTCGCCCATTATGTGTTTTAAAATGATCATCTCTTTCATGTCACTGAAATTTCAGGGTTTTTTTCACATTTCACATTGAAAGTGTCGCATCAAGACTTTTTTTTCTGCAATGCTTTTGAGATCCGAAAATTCAATGAAATGGGCTAAACTAACACCAGTATCATACAAATCCAGCCTGCAGCTGTGTGAAGAGATAGATTCACCTCCCCTGCAGAGAGCCAAACTGTCTCACAGTCAGTCCGTTAATATGACATTTGACCTTTTTATTTGCTCTCTGTCTCTCGGTAGCCAACAGACAGTCAGAGCAGACTTCTGAGTCTGCGTGTGTTTATTAATAAAACCCCTGTTATCACAATCACATGCTGGGGTCTTATAACACACCTGCTGATGAAAAGCTGCTTCCTAAGGTTTACCATTTAGTTTATGGTATAATATGTGAGAATTGGCTTTATAAGGGTTGGGGTTAGGCATGTAGCTGTAATGGTCAGGGGTAGGGCATGCCTCCAGGAAATGAATACCAGTGAATACACGGACTTACAAAAAATTATAAAAGCAAGTGTGCCAGTGTGAATTATCATACAGCTCCCTCTGTGTCTCTACATCAGTAACTACACAGCCCACAGTCTTAATTAAATGTTGTTCCCAAGAGAGAAATTTAGACATTTTGCGCAGTTTGAAAAACACTGTTATTGGTATTTCTGTGGTCCTGACTTATTTAGTAACAAAGTCTGCCCTTGATTCAAAAGACTTAACATCAGTTGACTCAACACAGGTAATAAATCAATCATGTTTTCACACACTTGTTTTAATAAACAATTACTGACCCCAAGTGCATACTGTAGCTGCTGCTCAATGCAATATTAAAACACCACTACACTTGACCCTACGTGCAGCTGACTGTCATCTCGGTCAGCAACAAAATCCAAAAATGTATTGCAGACATTGTGTTTCGGGGCAGGGAGTGGGCGGCTGCTTTTCACAGGAGAGCCCTTCTGTGCAGCAAAGTATCAGCTAATTCCTGTGAATTCAAATAGACATGGCTGTGTGTGCTCTCCCCCCTTTGCTTCTCCTGCTGCATACTTTAACCTCATTTAGACTGGGATTGTGAGTAAATACTGCTGTGACAAAATGAACTGATCTGAACCCGTCTCGTGCCCTACTGCGCATTTAATTTCCTCTCCACCCCTCGCTCTGATCTTTTCATTCACTGTCGACTCGCTAATTAGTCAGAAATGCCTCAAAATAAACTTGAAAGCAGCGGTTGAGCGGCCAGGCACTAAGACCCTGAAGAGACCCTGGCTCACACTGTTGTCAAAACACTGCTGCTACTGCCCTCTGCACTCACACACATGCACAGGCACACACACACACAGCTATAATCCTATATTTGGTGTTTCATTTTCACATGATACAAGAGCACCTCTGAATGAATGAATGCATGAACGGACAGAGACACCAAATATGTCTGTTTTTACATCAGAGTACGTGTATGTGTGTGTGTTTCTCTGCTTGCTCGACTAGCAAGAGACGAGCATTCCTAATCAGGACTGTGCCTGCAGAAAGCCTGCTGAACACACACACACACACACACACACACACACACACACACAGAAACACACGTGCACACTGTGGCTGTCATGTTTTAGTGTGTCAGCCAGTCTTGCGTAGCCAGAGAAACGTGACTAGATTGGGAGCAGATTCAGCATCCTAGTACATGTCTATGTGTTAGTTTGTATCTGTGTGTGTGTGTGTGTGTGTGTGTGTGTGTGTGTGCGTCAGAGTAAAGCCAGGCGTTAGTCACGCTTGGTGAGATATGAAAGAGCAGGGGATCCTCTGCCGTAAGGGACTTCTCGCACACACACACACGTGCCTTCATCTTTCTCTCTTTCTCTATATCTTTTCATTCTGGCTCTCACGTCACACTCTCTCTCTCTCTCAGGCTTTATTGGCATGAAGTGCAAAAGCACTTATTGCCAAAGAAAGAACATCAGATAACAGCTGATGACCATATTCATTTAGCAACGACGACAAAGTGGCAGTAACAAATGCAGATGGTTCAATAACTTCATAAGTTCAGCAAACACTAAATCAATGGACACATTAACTTTTTTCACAGCACTCACTCAAATTGTAACCATGTAAATATGTGTTGCCCTGTATGCATTATTGGTACATTTTCCTTTTCACCTCCAGAATAATTAAATTTTTCTTACTTAATAATATATTATTCTGAAATTCTTCTTTTTCTGTCTGTGTCACAACATCAGATTTCCACCACACATTTATCTGATAGTAAACATCCAGTGCATGTTTTCTTTTTTTTCCTGTTGTTCAATCACACCATCCTCGCTGAATGTGCCAATTACTATGTGATGATGTAATCACCATAGAGTGGGTTATAGAGAAAACAGGATCACAAAAAGAATTACACGCAGGCCATTTTTGACATAGGAAATTTGCAACTCTCAAAAAGCTAAAATTTGAACTTTAAAAAACTTTATCAGTATCAATATAGGATGAGAATCTGAGATCATGTAAGAAATGTTCTTGAAACTCCAAAATTATCAGCGGAAGTATAAACAGAAAAAAAACAGCAACAGGAAATGTATTATTTAAAAGACGATGTGATGAAAACAAGAAGCTTAACATGGCTGAAAGAGTAAGACATCCGGTTACTAAATTAAAGCCGTTTTAAATGTTTAATTTGAAGGACCTGAAGATTTTCCTGAACTGACTTAAACCCGGCTTCAGTCAGTAAAATGTCTTCAGTAAAAATACACAGACCTGGGCAGAAATAGAGGGACATATTCATCTATTTTGAATGTGTTGAACTGTCTGACCTAGTTAAGGTGTGTTTGATTTATCTTCTCAGACACTTAAACAGCCTCAGAAATGGACACATTGCTGGCTAGGTAGAATGAAGGTAGTGCACCCTCATGTATTTAAAATGTACTCTCCTCCACACTCCATGCAGTGTATGTGTTAGTTGCTTGTCTCTCTCCGTGTATCTCACGTTTACATGTGACTTTAATTAAACTTGACACTGTTTCCTTCAGTGTCAGTGTCTGAAACTGATTCAGTTTATCAATTCCAGTAGTTTTAACATTACTGGATCAATTGTTGGCATATTTCTCAAATGACAAAAGAAGCAGAGCAAAAATCACCTTTATTTTGAGCAGATTTAAGTTGCTACATACAAACATTTGTCATTAACTTCAAGGTATTGTGTGACTCTTTTGGATTAAAAGGTAAAATAAAGAAAGATTCAAATGTTTTCTGTCTTGTTATACACAAGTTGTACACAATGTTTTACTGTTTTACATTTGATTATGTTCAAGATAAAATTCAAATATAAAACACATCAGACATTTCATAAGAAGAGTTGACGTGACACCTAAAGGCCTTTAATGAAGCTGACATGAGTCTGCATCTGGCTGTGTGTGTGTTCTCAAAGTTAGAAATAAGCTGAAACATTGGCTGGTTCTGGGGTATCATAACTACAACTAAATCTCTCAGTACTGTACTGTGTTGTATTTCCTGCAGAATAGCAGGTTTTTATAGATGTAGTCATAATATCCAAGGATCAGATTATTATTCTATGCTGCAGCAAATGTCAGGGCATTTTTGCTTAACCACACTTTTCAGTCCTTGCTAGAGTGGGCCACACGAAACACTGACGTACACAGATGCCCAGTGGGTACAAACTTCAAACTGTCTATAATAAATAATAATATAATTCCTAATATAATTAGGAATTCTTAATTGTAAATGAATCATAGTGGAATAGATCTTCATTAGTTCATGGGGTAATTTCAAACACTTAATTACACACTGCACATTACACTGTTATTTCTCCAGGGACCACAACACTTGAAGGGCATAGAGAGGTCCTCAGCAAGTTCAAACACTCTCACCACACAACTGTCGGGCGACACAATCTGTGTGGAAGACTGGAGAAAAATATGTGCAAAATGTGATGTCCAGCAAATCTGGCATTGAACTACTTTCTCTGTTTCAATAGTTAGAAATGAAGAAAAAGTTAATTTAACAAGGTTTAAATATTCTTAGTTACATCAGCATTATTACATTTTATAAACTCAACACTGTACAAGACTGACAATTAACTTTAATCACTAAGTACCGAAGACGTTGACCGTTAACTCCTTTTTCAGAACTATTTTATTAGTTAGATTAGCTTTAAATATTACAAGGAACACATGAACAAAAATATGCACTGAAAAGTGAAATAGGTGCAGGTAAATCAAAGTTAAGTATGGACATACAGAAAACAATGCAATGCTAGCATCTCAGGGTCTGACCATGGTTCCTCTCAACAAACAAGCAGATGGAGGTCTACAAAGGGATGATGACCAACTTGACCATCTCTCAGAAATCTCATCCACACACTATACAGAAAAATCCCTGAGCAACTTGTTATTATCCTTAGGACACACTCAGTCTCCAGCTATACTTGTAGAGGACACAACTACTGCTCTCACTGTGTCACACACTCGTGTTGACTCTCTCTCTCTCTTTAAGGAGCTCCAGTCTAACAGTTGTCTCTCGACCTGCTCGTCATGCTGAGGTGATCTAACGGGACAGAAATAAAGTCCATACAGTTTATTGTGACCTAACTGCTGAACTGGACAATAGTAAACCCACACACACAGATACACACAGTCCAGCGGTCCTACTGTATCTTTTCATATTACAGCACTGCACATGAATCTGTCACAGTAAATTGAGCACCCTCCTCTCTGTCTCGAGTTTTCTACATTTGAATATTACTAAGAGGAAAGATATTATGTTTGATAAAGCTGTGAATATTGTCTTTTTCTCTCACACTGTCTCTCACACTCTTTCTCAAGTTCATGCTCGGTTTTCACTGTGCTATTTAGACAAGTTCACAGACCCATTTATGAAGCCATTTTTGGGTTAGCTGTGTGTTTAATGACTGTTCAAAGATGCGGCTCAGTGTACCAACAGCTCCTCCACATCAAAGACACGGTCCTTAAGCGCTTGGGTGGAACTTTAATATTTCATGTGTTGATTTTCCACTCAACAGTTTCAGAGTACTTTGCAAGATGATGATTGCCAATTTTAGCCTAAGCTCATTCACTTAGCATGGCCTTATGTTATGTAATTAGCGAGTCGGCACACTCGTAACGGATATGGTGGTATTAATTTAATAAAGGGTTAGGGATGCCAAAGACCTGTCAAGAGGCTACACTTTTTGCATTCGTAATAGAATGACAGAGAATTTAAGGCAGCTTCAAATGCTCAGATATGAATTTACTGGGGAGACAGATGTGCAGAGGGATCTTGTTTTTATATCAAACAAATGTATGGATTAGGGACACACAATAACACTGGACACATCCGTCTGTTTATACAAGCTTATCAAGTTAAGGTGGTGGGTGTTTCAGAATATCCCAGCATACTTCACACAATGGCAAAAGGTTATCATATGAACACCTATGTGCTATGCGGAGCTTCCAGTTCCTCTAAACATTTGTGTTTATAGACTGTGGAAGAAGAAGCACTCACAAACACCAAGAGAACATGAAAACTACACCCACTAAATCCTCAACTTTCTGGGAGAGACTGAGTCCAAAACGTCTATCCACTGCACCACTGACACCACCCACTCAGCTAAATGGCTAACTTAAGTTTAAAATAAATATATATGAAGAAACTATGATGGAATATCAAACCACAATACATTTTAGGTGCTGGAAACTGTCAGGTACCAAAAGCTGGAACTGAATGCCTGGTCAGATTTATAGTCTTGCTTATGTATTCTCTGATTAGGTAAAGAAAGAAAAAAAAGCCACTTTCTCTGTGTGATGGGAAGAAAATAAGTGAATGGGAAATATGTCCTTAGCTTTAGGAATGTTTAACAGAAACAAGCTACCTGGCGTGTCCACTAAGGTCTCATTTGCTTTCAATAATTTACAAATGCCTGTGTGTAGTGTGTAATAGGTTGCTGTTTTCCATGAAAACCTGTACACTGTCTGTACAGCACCGAACAGCAGACAGACAGTGTGAGTGGCTAACTGGTGAACAGAGTGGAGCACTTAGCAGCTAAAGGGCCAGATATTTCCCTCAGGTGTGAGTGGAAAACTAAATCGAATATTGGAATTACATTCATTTGGTGGATACAAACACAACTGCAGATGCTAAAACAATGCTGAATGCTAATTCTGTAGTTACAGCTTGTTGCTCTGCCCCCAAGTGGCTAAAAAAACATTAATGCAAGTTTAAAAACCAAAATTCATTGAATTCAATATAGACATTCATATTTACATTCTCAGTGTTACATTCTCTCTCCATGCAGACATTGAACATGTGGCATATTTATAGAAGACTTAAATAACTTGTGAGTGTTGAATTCAAATCAGTGAAGCATCAGATACAGTAGAAGCAGCAACAGGGCTCAGACTGGAGATGTTGACGATAAACTGGCTGTAGAGTTTATGATATGAAATCAGACAGCAGAGCACAACCCTGCTCTCTCCCTGTCTCTACCTCTCTAATAAACACACACAGCTAGGACCTCTCTCTCTCTCTCCCTCTCACTCACTCTCCTGCCGGCTACTAACTCTCACCTTAGTTTACCTCAACCCTGAGTCCCTTGACAAGCTTAGTCATTACCTCTTTCCTTCTCTGTCTCAGCACATTTTGCCTTAGTCAGTGTCTCTCTCTCTCACTGTCCATTACTTTACCTCTACCCCCAGCATCTCTCTCGCTCTCTCTCTCTCTCTCATACACTAACACACACACACACACACACACACACACACACACACACACACACGAAACTCTCTACCTACCTTGCATCCAAACATCAGAGATATGGTGTTGTTGGTACATGCTACTTTGCAGTGGCACAACATGTGGCTAACGTTAGCTAGCTGGTCCCGCGCTGGGGGGGCATCCTAGCCTTCATACACACATTTCACACTCACACACATCCACACGCTCACACACGCATGCACACGCACATGCACATGCATGTCTTCTATCAACCGCGCTCCATCCTGTCCCACAATCCCCCACTCTTGCCGGCCCCCCTGCCCTCTCCCTCCCCCCCACCGCCTGGCTACAGTCCTCAGCTGTGGCAGGCCGGCGTCCTCTCCCTCACGCTCTTCATCGCTCTCATCTTCATCATCAGCTTCATCAGTGTAATCCTCATAGCTGGTCAGGATGCAGGGAGCAACATGGTCACTGTCTGCCTGTGCATCAGCGTGTGTGTATGTCTATGTATGTATGTGTGTGTCTGTGTGTGTGTCAGAATGGGTTAGCACGTGTGTGTGTGTGTGTGTGTGTGTGTGTGTGTGTGTGTGTCTGCGTTCAGTGTGTTGTTGTTGTCAGCATGTGTGGATCAGTCTGTCTGTGTGTGTGCATGAATGAATGTGTGTGTGCATGTAAGTGTGTGTATGTGTGTCAGTATGGATGTGGTCTCTGTTGTCCTCTTCTGCAGCAGCAGTCCCAGTCCTCTATCTCCTCTCTCTCTCTCTGTGTGAGAGTTTGCCTCTCTCGTTCTATTGCTCCCCTTCTCTCTCTCTCTTGCTTTCTCTCTATCTGTGTGTGTGTTTCTCTCTCTCTCTCTCTCCCTGCCTTGCTCACTCTCTCTCGGTTCGCTCCACTGCCTCTCTTGGCCCGCCTCTCAACAGCAAGATCAATGAGAGACAGAAAGAAAGAAAGAAAGAAAGAAAGAAAGAAAGAAAGAAAGAAAGAAAGAAAGAAAGAAAGAAAGAAAGAAAGAAAGAAAGACAGACAGAAAGAAAGAGGAGAGACCAGCACACTGAGGTAGAGGGAGGATTAAAAATGTGGTGTCTTTCTTGTGTCCCCCTATCTCTCTCTCTCTCTCTTTTCACCTCTCTCTCTTGTTCTACCTGCTGCAGTGATGCTCTGCCTTGTATAGTCATACAACAGCGCACTCACACACACACACACACACACACACACACAGCGAGGAGGAGGGGGGTAAGGGTACAGTATTATACGGGCTAGTGAAGATTGAATTGACCAAATATAACAGTGATGGAGAGAGAGAGGGATAGAGAGACATAAAGACTGAATGAGTGAGGCAGAGACAATGTTGTTACATCATTCAGAGTTGCAAGCCATGATCTCCCAAACACACACACACACACACACACACACACAGACAGTATATTAACACATATACACACACACACACACACAGACAGTATATTAACACATACACACACACACACACACACACACACATTTTTCTGGGGTGACTTGTTCAATTGATATTTGAACACAGCCCTGTTATTCAGCTGGCAGAAGGATGATAACATTGGCATTGAGCCATTTTAAACCACAGGTGACCAGGACGCAAGATCAGAGGGTGGTAGAAACAAATAAAATCGTCTGTGTTTCCATTAATCCAGCACTGGACAACCTTTGACATACAGATGCACATGTCTTGCTTTACCACAAAGCAGAGTGTCTCTTTGCCAGAATGTTGGTGTTAATTTGTATTAAAACAACCCTTGCATTGAAATAACACAAAGGGCTATGTTAGTAGGGGAATGTTGCTTCCGGCACTGGTGAGACATGATATATAATATATAAGTCCAATTTGAGTAACAATCCTTGAGTATGAAGGCTTATAAGGCACCACAACATATCAGTCTATATTACTATGAGGCAGGACTTTACAGTTAAGGAAAGTTATTACACTGGGAATTATTTAATACTAATGTAACGATACACAGTATGCCTACAGCATTTACTTTACAAAGTAATCTACCAGGAATCTTTGCTTGCACATATTTGCTGGACGACCCTGCATTTTTTTTTGCAGGAGCCCTCTGTGTTGGCACCCCCTGCTGTGTCAGTGGACTGGCCTAATTAAAATGAATGAGGGTTGTTTTTTCAGTCAGTCTGAACATGTCATTAGGTGTAGGTTACTGGCAGGACATCGTCTATGTATCAACTTGTTAATAGAGAAATGTGCCAAATGCGCACAAGACTGTCTGATTAACAGCATACAATAGGAACTTTATTCAAATTTCTAGCTTATATCAATACAGTACATACCACAGAATGCTCGTTGTATTTAGATTTACATTTACTCATTTGGCAGACGCTTCAGCACAGAGACCTTGGACCACTAAACTAAATCTGCTCAATAAGACAAAGTCAAGGAGATCAGCTAAAGAAGTGCACATAAGTGCACTCTAAGTGCAAGTAAGGCGAGTTAAGGTGTGAGAGGTGTTAGGGGACGAGGTGCTCATGAAAGAGATGAGTCTCCCCTGCTCTGTTAGTATTTGGTAGCTCATTCCACCATCAAGAAAACCACAAAACAGAACAGTTTTGACTGAATTGCCTTGTGTGCAGGGATGGCAATGATAAACAACATTCCTTGGAGAGCAGAAGTAGCCGAGAGGGAGCTTAAGCCCAGTGTTGTGCCAGTTCACACTCATACAGAGTTCAGTTCATACAGATGAAAATTAACTAGTTCACATTCATTTGTTCCTTTTTTTAAATAAAGGCCGCTATTCTTTTTCAATAGAACCTCCTTCTACCCATCCATCACTAGCCCCAAATCATTGCCACTCCCAAACTAAATTAATTATTGTACACCACTAAAGAATCACAGACATGAGCTAAAACTGTCGTAAAATGTTCACGTTCATCATTTGTAAACTGATTCACTCAGTTCAGCGTTCACAAAAAATATGAATATGTTCATGCGCAACACTGTATAAGCCTGTATGATTGTGATCAAGTTGATGTGTGCAGACCCAGAGGTCAGTTTGTAAGCATTAGGTGACTTGAATTTGATTTGGGTGGTCATGGGTTGCCAGTAGAGGTCAATGAGCAGCAGAGTGACATGTGCCCTTTTGGGCTGATCGAAGACCAGATGGGCTGCCGCATTCTGGACCATCTGTAAGGGTGTCACTGTGCATGAAGTGAGACCAGATAGAAGGACATTGCAGTAGTCAAGCCGCGAAATAACCATGACCTGGACCAAGAGTTGGGTAGAGTACTTAGTCAGGTAAGGCCTGACTTTTCCTAATTCCTAATTTTCCTGATAGTGCAAAGAGGCATGACCGGGAGACAGCTGTCAGATGGTTAGAGAAGCCCAGCTTAAACTTGACACCCAGATTTTTTGGAAACGTGGTTGGGGTGAGAGATGAAGAGGCACTTTTTATGTTGATATTGTGATGGAGAGATTGAGTGGATTGGAGTTCATTATTAGAAAGGTTCAGTTTAAGGTAAGGTTCCTTGATCCATGCTGATATGTCTGAGAGACAAACCATGAACCGTACCAAAACCATGGATCACACGGGATTGACAGGTATAGATGGGTATTGTCTGCATAACAATGATAAAAGAACCCATGTGAGCAGATAATCTAACCCGAAGAGGTGGTGTATGTTGCAAAGAAAAGGGGCCCAGCACTGAGCCTTGGGGCACTCCTATGGGGAGATGATAGAAAATGGGCATTTGCCCTTGCCATGACACATTGAAAGAACGCTCAGTGAGGCAGGATTCAAACCAAGAATGTGCTTTTCCCGAGATGCCCACATCAGAGAGTCCAGATAGCAGGATGAAGTGGTTCACCGTGTCAAAGGTCCAGCAAGATAAGGACCAAAGACGAAACTCTAGTTCAAGCTCGTACATCTTCTGTCACAGACAACAGAGCCGTTTCAGTGAAGTAGCAGCTCTTAAAGCCCGATGATTAGTAGTATTTAATGTAAATATTTAAGAAAATGCAATTTACACGCTGCTTTAATAAGTTTGGATATTTACCATCTTACTATATGTAACATATTAGATTCGTACTTAAATATCTGGCCAAGTTAAGGGTCTGCTATTTTTCCTGAAATGGAGAGGAGAGGAGAAGAGAGTAGAGGATTTATGGGAGATAAAGGGCAGAACAAGTCAAACAAGTCAAAGCGCACTCTTCAGCTGAGGCTCTTGATGCTGACGGCTGGGCCATCTGGACTATGACACACACAGTAGTCTCTCTGTGGTTGTCTCTGTCTTCTCACCTCGACTGGAAAACAAACAACGCAGCATGAGAGAGGAGAGCACAGAGAAAGGGAAACAATGTGCGAGAAAGCAGAGGGCGAAGCGCGGGAAAGAAGCAAACACAGGGTGATTTTGAGGTCACCAACAGGGAAGAGGGGGAAATATTAAAAGACGGAAAAGTGGAGAAGACAGGGATTGACAAGCTGATACTGATATTCCTGATACTAGAGGTCTCCAAAGCAATTTCATAAGTTTACTGATTAAGTTATAAATCCACAACCACAAGCAAGTCTATGCCTCAAGTTACATTTAAAGCTGTTAATCTGTAATGAGAATTTATTTTTAGAGGGTTTTTTAGAATATCTAACTGCACGCAGATAAAAGATGCACAGATATAAGCATCGGAGGAGCCAATTAAGTTCTGAAGTTGATGCAGGTAGACAAGTCACATAAATAATGTAATGGCATGAAAGGTTATTCTGAGTACAGCAGGAATTTAATCTTCAAAAAAAACCTTTCTTATGCAGAATACACACAAATTAACACATGTAAAACTTTGTGTATGTGATTAGTTGATTAATAATTGATGCATCAACCATGTTGCAAAACTTCAGATCTTTCTGCACAACAAATCTCTAGAAATTGTTCTTTTTTTAGGTACAAGATAAAAGAGTTTCATGGCAGGAACAATGTGTTTTGCATCCATCCTCAATCCCTCAAGATTTTTTGCAATATTTCTTAGTGTGCTGATAGTTTACTGTCTTTTGGATGTAATTCTGCCATTTATGTGATTGGTTATAAATCAGAAACTCCTCAGAGAAAGTGACTTGTCATTTGTTTGTTGGTGGCAATTCTTGTGTGCCATGCTTGCTTTGAAGTTTTTGCTCAGCACATCCTAAATATCACTCTTCAAACTCAAAATTGAGGCCAAGCACCCAGTTCTTCTTCTGTTCCTTTCAAACAAATGTTTACTGTGTGCCAGAGAGTTCTTCCCTGGAGCGTTCAGAGGAATAAATGTAACCGCTCTTGTAAAATGGATACAGGTTAACCTAATGCCTGACAGTAAAAAAAGGAGCATTTTAACATAAAAATGTTCTGGGTTTGGACTTTTGTTCATGCGTTTTATATGGAAACCTCAGATTGGATTCCTCCAGAGAGACATCAGGGAGTTATTTTTATGTCGTCAAAGAGTCAGCTTTGGGTCAAGTGCCAGTCTTCCCTTAGTCTTGGCTTGTGTGATAAGTTAGCCGTCCTGAGACCGAGTGTCCTTCTGTGTTTGGCAAGGAACAGATGGAGATCCTGCTGAAGTGCGTGCATGCACATGTACACACACACACAGACACACACGTACAGATACACACACCCACACACACAAGTACATTCATACATCTGGGATAGCCACAGGCGTTCTGGCTCATATGCCTCATAAAACATAATGTGAGAGTAAACATAGCATCGAATGTCACATTATCAACATCACACATCCAATTACTGAAAGATAGAAAAAAAGAAGAAACAATGACAGAATATAAGAGAGGAAATAAGAAATAAAGACAGGAAAGAAAGGAAGGAAGAAAAAAGAAATAAAGGAATGAATGGGAGACAAATGGGGAGCGAGAGAGAGGATGCTACCTCATGAGCCTAGCAGGCATGCACTACATGTTAACATTAGTAGGTCAGCCAGCACAGAAATAACTACACCGTGTGTATGTGTGTGTGGCAACCTCATACACTCCCTGCGAGCCAATCGTGGTGGATTCTCCATTCTACACACTAACCAATCAAAATTGCTCCATACATTAACATTTCAAACACGGTCACATGATCAGCATTTACCAGCTGTGTGTTCAGTTTCCACATGAGTGAATTTTCTTCCAAATAGATCTCGTCCTCGCTCTATGTAAAACGCTGTGCGAGGATACAATGATTCCTTTGGAAACTTCATAGATACAAATATCAACTGTCCAACAGCAAAAGTTCATTTATTTAAGACTGTTTTGAATTGTGGATTTAATTCCAAGGGATGTGTCATCTATGTATTGACATAGTAAAAGTGGAGGTGTTAAGTCTCTGCAGAATAATCATTTGAGCACCCAACATATTGGTGTGTTTTTCATACATATAGTGCCACTATGTGGTAAAACACAGACACAGCACCACATGGACGATGTTCTCCAGATATTAATTCTTCTCTCAAACATGCTTTACATAAACTCATGTTGTTTTTGCTGACACTGACAGAGATAATGTAAAGGCCTGCAGGGGTTTAGCATCTTATTAAGTTCTTCAAACAGATCTATATGAGCTGTACTAACATACAGTGCATGTGCATACATATACTATATAACACAGCAGTGATACATTGCACACTCTCTGGATCTGATGTAGACATAGAAAGGCTTGAAGCCTATACTGAATATAAAAATATTAATCCCTAAACTCAACTGTTGCAGCTATACTACTGGGAGCATGACAAACAAGTGCAGGGGGGACAAGGGCAATATTTTGTAATCTTTTTGACTCACAATACACATGAAAAATGATCCTGATCTACTCTCTAAACTATCCTGACAGTCGAGGGCCATGGGTTCATGCAGTCATGATGACGCTAAGCTGTTTAATTTTCCCCTGCTGGAAAATCAATGATAAGACTGAACTGAAATGAACTCAGCCACTTGCCTTGTTGCTCGTGCATGTGTGTATAGGTTGGTATCTTTGTATGAGTGTGTGTGTGTGTGTAGCTCCACAGAGATTAGTCATCTGCTAAATGGGATTAGCTGCTCTGTCTGAACTCAGGCATGACATGGGCTGAACAATGAACAATTTAATGTTAGCCTACTTGCCTGTTAGCCTGACCGGCACAATAGACTGCTGAAAAAACAAGTGTTGGCAATGGGAACACATCTGCTAAAAATCTTTCAGATATGAACAACAAACCACTGTTATTACCCTTCTTCATAAGGCTATCAGCCCCTGCAGAGTGTTGGCACCCTGCTTGCATCCTTTTTCAGCCAGGTGATTTATTTTTCAAAGACAACCACTGCTCAATCCTTGCCCCTGAAGTTGACCCTGGTCACCAGCCAAGTTGGTCTGATTGTGGCTGAAGTCTGGAGCCTGATAGCCAAAAATGAGCTGGCTCTCGACCATGTATTGCTTCTGGATTTGGACTGGGTTCAGGGATGTGGACTTGGATGGATATGAGCTGAGAGATGGTTCCAGTTAGCAGCGTTATAGCTAGCTCTGGGCTAGTTTTAGTAACTAATGGTTTTTCCCCTTTGCCACAAAGTGAAATCAATCTGTAAAACAGCATTAAACATCGTCGCAATTCCATTCAGTTGTTGTATCAACCACTGATATGAGATTTTGATAAATCCATTTTTATAATTTCCAAAATAATGAGCAAGGAGAAAGAGGCTTAGTACATAAGGGTACCATTTCATGGCAATGACATTTGAACAGATATGCAGCAAATATGGCTAAAAACTTATCATAAAAGTTGTTACTATTTTGTCTAGATGTCAGCCATTATGATGAACAGCTTCTCACTCAAACATCAAGGGGTCAGGGCCTAAAAGAAGTTTCCACAAATTGGGTTTTACGATGTGGTGGACCACACCTCATAAAATCTTCTGTTTATTCATTTGAAAAAGAGCCTTAAAAGCTTTAGTTGAGTTTAGTTGAGTTTAGTTGTTAACCTGTGAAGATTGAAACAGAAGTAGTTGAGTAGTCACCACAGATAATGGAGCATTAGCTAGCAGCTATCATTAATGGTAAAGCCACAACCTCTGGCCCTGGACTAATTCCTCATAATTACTCAGCTCCTCTTGATTGTAAGCCAGCCTCCGTGATTCCTATCACCTCAGATACCATTCTGTGTAACCTTGGAAGGATCAGGGACCGAGGGTTTCT